AAAACAGCTCCAAATCATGAAGAATCAGGATAGACAACTGGATCGAGTTAAGTCAGTTCAATGGAAAATGTAGCCGAGTCGAGTTGCAGAATGTAACGTATGTAATATTAAAATTTCTCTCCTCCACATTGGTAACTTTTTATGCTGTCTTTTATTCGAAACAATCACTTTTGTTCAACAACGCTGTGTTCAACGAGAATGAACGCTACTCACTTTGCGCCATCAATAAAAATAATTATCTTTGCAACCGTTCACGCTTTATTGATGAAACTTTCCAAAAACGTTTAACTAATTGTCGTTATTCATTACCCAAAATTTCAGTTCAATCTGTCTGGCGCAAAAAAGTCGATTTTTTCAGCTCTCTCATAATGTGAAATTACGCTTTAATTGCCTGATTCTAAATTAATTGGTGTTAAATAACATGGGTGGGCTACAGAAAAGCGAAAATAATTTATGAGAACACTTGATTCGAACTATCGATTGTTCTTATTATACTATTCAAATGAGGATAGCTCATATCATTTTGCTATAACATTTGCTCTTGAATATACGCGCACTGAATGTAATGAGGTCATATAATCAAGACATCTGGTAAAAGCGTTTATCGGCATGATTATTCCCTTTTGCAGATTCTTGCTTTTTAGCACTCCATTCACGAGTGTCGGGCTAACATAGGGTCTGGATAAAATCTATTTATACTCAATACGATATTAAAGTGGACAAATGATTGAATGCAGATCACCGCTGTCATTCGGCTGTTATTTGTAACACAAATGATTTGTTATCAGAAATATCAGAAAATGACTACTCTCTAAAACAGAAAGATTTTGTACGGAACATATATTTGTTGTTATAATTTACAACAATATGCACATTTAATGTCAATTCGACCAGGGAAAAGTTAGATAAGTCGGCGGCTGTTCTAGATGTAACAGTAACAACAATAGCAGTAATGTTATGTGAAATATTTATTTCTAGAATAAGTGATGCATGACTTAGTCTGATTTTTCAATTTAATTTCAAATAGAAAACGTTTAACAAACTTTTGTTTTCTCATTTTGAAGAGTTAAATATAGGCTTGCACCAGTTAAAAGCCGGGCTTCTATTAAAATTGTTATAAGTCACTTATAAAGAATTACTTGGGGTCACGAAACCTCTCATTTTGTAGAGAAATGTTTGCTCTTGAAAGCTCAAATGTGAAAAAAAATGAAGCTATTTCTAGCAAAAACGTGAGCATTCTAAAATGCACTAAAGTTAGAAAAAACCTGTTCAAACATTTTTTTTGTCTGAATTTAGTGCATTTTAGAATGCTCATATTTGTATCATAGAAAATGTTAAAACTTTTCTAGTTATATGAGATTGTAGTTCAAACATTTTCCTACAAATAAGAGGTTTCGTGACTTCGAGTAATTTATTATAGACGACTTATAACTAGTTTAGCGGCAGCCCTAACACCAGTTTTTAACTATTGCATGCCTAATTTAATTAGAGTATCTTTTTAAAAAAAACGTCATTTTTACGACCAAGTATCTTAGATGAATATTTTCTGTCACAATATTCGATCCTGATTATTCTTAGTCATAACAATTTATTTTAATTGATAAGCATGAGCATCAGCGGGAACCTTTTTTCGTTGGTAAATACAGCCAGTAACATTACTTAAAATTTTCGGAATACAAAATATATAAATAAGTGGCACAAGTAACCTGTAAATAAAGTAGACTTTTGAAATTGGTCTAAAAATGTCGATAACCAGACGAAGTGAATTAAGACAACAATCGCTGATGGAAATTCAAATAGAATCTCGGAAGATTCGATCTTCAAATTCGATTCAATTTTTCAATAAAAAGAGGGAGGAGTACTCTTAAGTTTAATTTTTAACTGAGCGTGAAATCAATTGCATCATGTTCCCGAAGAGAAAGCTGGGTAGAACATGGTGAAATTAGCGTACTATCTGTCTCAAGAAACGCTATTTACAAGGGACTTTCCTTGCTGCCAAAACTTCTTTTTTTTGGCGGTATTGCAGTTAACAATTTAGCGAAACAATTTTTGTTGTCTTGAATCTTAATTTATAGATTTAAAATCGTTTTAAGCCAAAAGGTGAAGTCTCGAGAAAAGACTTTTCTTGTATAGCTTCATGCGAGCCGTCGAATGAAATTGAAATTAAAGTCTCAAACTTTTAGTTCCTCGAAAAGTAAGGTTCAGCTAATGCAAAATTCAAGTGAAATTTTGTTTTGATTTTATTATACATATTCAGATTCAGTTTAACGAGCTGATTACGAATAACACCTTCCGAGCCTCTCATTTCTTCGTGGAGTAAAACTCAAATTACTGAGAAGACCTCAGAAATACAAAAAATCGTCTTCTTTGATGAAATCGACTTTTTGTGCTTGTATTGCACGATGGAAGGTTCGAACTATAAAACCAAACTTTAATATACCTCAATGCAGTTTAACTGATCGAGGCGGTTAGAGCTTTACGTATCTGTTAAAAATATGACCCGTAGTGTTAGGAGTTTTTCCTAGTAAGTAGAAATTTGTTTCATTTGAAAGTGCATCGTTTCAGTGTCGATCATCAAATTTTGATATGGACAACGGCAACAATGGGCGGCAGGAATGTCCCAGTTGGTGTGGTTGTCATAACATAACAAATGAAAATAATGTTTGAAATACTAGTGTATTTTTGGTTAATCAGCAAGAAAAAATTCAAATAAAAATTTAAGCAAGAGTTTTTTTTTCGCATTAAGATAATCACTACGACAAAGATTTATGAAGAATATAACCACTAAAACTTGTTTGAATATGTATTGATTGAACTTGGAAATAATTGTCAATGATATCTTTGAATTTTCGAATAGTTTCTTCATGCGAACAAACTATTTCGATCGCATCAATCGATGGTTTCTTATCTTTCATCGACCGTTTCTCACCTGAAATATTTGTGATAACAGCAATTAATTGTCTACTGCCATAGGATTCTTCAAATGTGACACATGTAACACAACTAACAAGTGCATTCAATTGTTCATAAACATTTTGATCACACCCGGTACATACAATCAGAAGATCCACTTCTCTTTTCTCAGTTAAATTTCGATGAAAAAACCCTTGTTGAAGAGGAATATAAGTAACATGTAAATAATGATCGAGTATACTGGCAGTTGTTGGTGATAAGGGACTATTGATGTCACTTCGAATGCATAATTCTTTTCGACTTTTACCTGTTGTAGTATCGAAAGCCTTTTGTAAAAGTTTATTATACTCGGCATCACGTCCATGGTCGAGAAGTACCTGTTCATCAGCATATATTTCAGTAAAAATAAGTCTTGTTTTGGTTTCATCGGCATGTCGAAATATATATGTATATACTTTGGGATGATCACGATGGACAATATCAGCCATACCAGCCAAAGATTCGAGAATCTTTGTTGCTGTTGACTCTGAAGTTGCATCGAATTCAAGATGTAATAACAAAGACATGATTTTCTTTCTTGTATCTGTTTCACACAATAACAACGACTGAAATAGGACACGATAACATTCTATTAGCTTTATGAGTCATGAGAACTACCTTTATCATAACATCCATATAAGGTAATATAGATGGTGATGACTCATAGGATTGTCAATAATACACATCTGATAATCTTTTGCACATAAATTTAAAGGATCAACTCTACATAATATTTACTGTTAGAATAATGCTAGTTAGAATTGAAATAATGATTATCTAGAGTAGGCCTGGTAAAACCGGAGACATCGTTGATATACGTCTTATATTTATTGTCTGTTTTACCTTTCAACAAATATTTAGTAGTAACAATTGAAATTATCAAAATTCTAGTGCTACTAATTGGATAGACCCTTTCAAAAGCTACGAAACTGTATATTTTCTAAATTCTAAAAAATATGGCTACTAGAAAAGCTCGTAGTCACATTGCATACTGTGTGATCCCTGTGCACAGCGATCATAGCGACCACAGGGGTCATAGTGGACAGAGGGATCATAGCGATGACGGGAATCACAATCATTTTAAAACTGCAAAAGAGATAGAGGTTATATTTAAAAGTGCTGCGTGTTCCTTTTCATCATTATATCTTAAAATCTCAGTTTCAAATTTTGAATCGTGTTGGTTCTGACAGAGAATTGAACTTCCTACAAAAGTAGATTTTCGCTACCTCTGTCCGATGACTACAGAAGTGGAACGGTTGATTTTAAAATCACAATTTTCCTTGGTTTTCGGAAAAAATATCCAACAAGCTACATTTTACCTTGTTCGGTTTTTTTCAAGGCCTTGCTGACTGTTCAAATCAGCCGTAATGTTCTTCACACAATTAAAAGTGATTTTGAGTTGCTGGGCTATGGTACTAATTTTCGTTCCAGAATCATACAAAGCAACAGCCCGAGTACGAACTGTTGGGCTGACTGATCGCTTTTGCCATACTAAAGAACTAAAATCTGGAAATCATCGATAAATTTATACGAAAAGAGCTTTTCATAAAACACTACACCTGACTAGAAAAAAATACGACTCTCAGAATTTAGCATAGATTAAAACGAAGAAACGAGTATATTTCATTTAAATATCACTATCGTCTTATATTCTGCAATAATGTCTTTCCGTCGAAAGGCAGAAAATCAGAAAGTCAGAAAAGAGCCTGTACGAGTATATGACGGTGTACTTACGCACTTTCTGGTAGAGGCAGAAAGTCAGAAAAAAGCATTTACCAGTGTATGTTACTTTCGGGTAGAGGTCAAAGGTCAGAAATTCAGAAAAGATCATTTACGAGTGTACTGATATATATATATATATACATAGCTTTGGGTAGAGGTAGTCAGGAAAGTAAATACCGAAAATGAACATTTTCGTGAAGAGAGGCGAAAATAAGCTTTTCCCGTTGTCTTGTTTTCTGCGTCACGTATACACTGATGTTAGCTGTGTGGTGAGGATAAGCTTTCTCTGATTTGGGGATAAGCTTTGCTCCAGCAGTTAGTGAAGATCAAGATTTTTTTGCAATTCGATGTTGAGCAATATCAGTCACATAAATGTTGTCACACTGATCGACAAAAACACCAGATGGTTGACTTAGACGAACACCAACGATTGTACCAGATGTTGCATCTGAAGGATATTTTATAACTTTTCCAGCAGATTCTGCTAGATAAATTTCTCCAGGTACATTAATGAACGAAACGCCATGTCCATCTGAGTCATTGGCAATTGTTACATCTTGTGTAGTATTCACCATCCATATCTGCACTCAGCAGTCGCAGTGCACTCTCAAAAAGAGATACGTTTTCAAGCACAAAAATTGAAAAGGACTTGGCTTGAGAGCGAAGAAAAAATGAATAATAGAATATGAGAAAAATGATTTTTTCTGTATGGATTTTCTGTTTCCATCTATCATAACTAGTAAATTTAAGCAGCTAGTGCACACGTTTCTGTATATATTCTTGAAAATGAACTTGAAAAAAAAGCTCGAAACGTTGAAACGTATTTAAGTTTAAATTTAATTGATGATTTGAATAA